GCTACGAACCCCTCCACCCAGAGGGCCATCAACTACCTAATTCAGGACCTAGGTTGGACGTTCGCCTACCTGGATGACCTGGTGGTGGTGTCGGACGGCTGGGACGAACATCTGTGCGTTTGGAATACTGTTCGCACGACTGCAAGACTGGATTCACCATAACCTGGCTAAATCTGCTTTTGCCGGGCCTCAGTGACTTACCTGGGACATAACGTTGGGCATGGTATGGTCAGACCCAAGGACGCAAACGTTAAAGCCATCTTGTCCTTCCCACTCCAAGGACGAGGAAGGAACTCATGCTCTTCCTGGGGATTTGCGGCCACTACCGTCAGTTCTGCAGTACTTCTCCAGCGTGGCAGACCCTCACAGACCTTACCAGTTCTGCGGTCCCTTACATCTGGAACCAGAGGTGCGACCAGTCTTCCACCGCCTCAAAGCCTTCTGCCTCCAATCCTGTAGTCCACCCCCTGACTACACCTTTGCCCCTTCCCATCTGCAAATCGACGCTAGCGTGTCGGAGTGAGGCACGTGCTCCTACAACCCACTCCAACCACTATGCCTCACCCTGTGGCATACTACTCCGCCAAGTTGAAAAAACATCAGACCAACTACTCGACCATAGAAAGGAGGCCATGGCCTGGTGTTGCAATAAAAAAGTTTGAATGTCACTCCAGTTTTGCCCACAAACAACCCTCGTCTTCACCTACCATAACCCACTTACGCTCATCCAAACCAACAAGACCTCCAACCAGCGAATCCTCCGCTGGGCTCTCCTCACCCAGCCCTACAATCTACAAATCCGGCACATAAAGGGGTGACAACATGATTAAGACTCTTATCCGTACCAGTGGAACGCAACATCTACTCTCCAGACGACCAGGTATCACCTTCATACCGCGCCACGAGGTCTTGGAGGTGTTACGAACCCTCCACCCAGCACTACTTAACCACGCCATCTATTGTCTTGATCTACCTACCCAGCTCCACGAGCAACGCCATCTAGGACGACACTGACAGTATGACTCTCAGCTTTTAGTTACCACCTGCTTCCTTCTCCATATCCTGTTGTTGCGTCACTTCCTCCAAGTCTTCTTTGTCAGCTCCAATTCGAGGAGAGCACGGCTCTGGAATGACCACAGGATCATCTATCCTCTAAACCCACAGTGCAGTGACTACCTACCGTCTTCACAACACTAGCCTTACTACCGCCAGCCATCTCAGCTCCTCACTTAAGCATTTGTATTTTATTAAAGCCCCCACGTCCACTTGCTTCAAAATTGTTTTATCATTTAATATGTATATACTGTTAATGTTTAGGTTAGTTTGGTTAAGGTAATTTATAAGCTGAATATTTTTGTTTAGGATTTATAGTACTTTATTATACACAACGAAACTCGTGATCCACTATCTAATCCCTTTTATAGTCCGATTGTCTGTTTGTTTTTTGTTACCTGTTGGGATCTGGGGAAAGTATAACTATATTCTAAATCCCCAACTCGTAACACTTCCAAACCAGGAGAAAATCACAATACACAATCGACACCAGACAAAATTTTAACACAAACAAAGCCTTTTCAATTACCATATAATATGTACTCCTTACAAGCAGTGACCACTACAATTATACTAACACATCAACAAGCCCCATACAGATACACTAATAAAAAAAGACTGAAAGAGTAAAACAGACTAGGACAACCAAAGCACGACTTAGGTAATCACCACCGATTAACCTACAAGGGAAAACAACAGAAGACATAGACCAGAAATGGACACAGATAAACTTAAGCAATAAAAACATCTAACAACAAAACACACTCCCACTTCATACTTAGAACATTACCCAAGAGACTACAAGAAAAGTTAAATTAATCCAGACCATTACAACGAAATAAAACAGGTATATGGAAAGACACGACAGTAACAGATGGCTATACGTCACAGATAGCACTACATTACAATCCTCATCGCAGCACATGGGTACCCTAACTCTGAGGTGGTCTGAGGTGGTAATGAGATGATTGATAAGAGTGTCTCTGGTGGTGGCGAGGCGGATGGTATGCCACACAGATTATGATGGAAGCAGTGTGGTGCGGGTGGGCTGGTGGCACAACACGTACCCATAGGTAGTGAGATAATGTGTGAGTGGTGGTGGTGGTGGTAGTAGTGAGATAATATGTGAGTGTTGGTGGTGGTGGTAGTAGTGGTGGTGGTGTTGGTGGTGGTTAGATAATGAGAGAGTTGGTGGTGGTGGTGGGGTGGTTGTGGTGGTGGTGGTGGTGGTGGTGGTGGTGGTGATGGTAGTGGTGGTGGTGGTGGTGGTGGTTAGATAATGTGAGGAGTTGGTGGTGGTGGTGGTGGTGGTGGTGGGTGGTGGGGTGGGTGGTGGTGGTGGTGGTGGTGTGGTGGTTAGATAATGTGAGAGAGGTTGGTGGTGGTTGTGGTGGTGGTGGTGGTGGTGGTGGTGGTGGTGGTGGTGGTGGTGGTGGTGGTGGTTAGATGTGGAGTTGAGGTGGTGGTGGTGGTGGTGGTGTGATGGTAGTGGTGGTCGTGGTGGTGGTGGTTAGATACTGTGAGAGAGTTGGTGGTGGTGGTGGAGGTTGTGGTGGTGGTGGTGTTTGTGGTGGTGGTGGTGTTTGTGGTGATGGTAGTGGTGGTCGTGGTGGTGGTGGTTAGATAATGTGAGAGTTGGTGGTGGTGGTGGAGGTTGTGGTGGTGGTGGTGATGGTGGTGGTGGTAGTGAGATAATGTGTGAGTGTTGGTTGTGGTGGTGGTGGTGGTGGTGATGGTAAGTGGTGGTGGTGGTGGTGGTGGTGGTGAGATAATGTGTGAGTGTTGGTTGTGTGGTGTGGTGGTGGTGGTGGTGGTGGTGCTGCTGGTGGTGGTGGTGGTGGTGGTGGTGTGGTGGTGGTCGTGGTGGTGGTAGTGGTGGTCGTGGTGGTGGTGGTGGAGATATGTGTGAGTGTTGGTTGTGGTGGTGGTAGTGGTGGTGGCAGTGGTGGTGGTGGTGGTTGGTGGTGGTGGTAGTGAGATGTGTGTGAGGTGTTTGTTGTTGTGGTGGTGGTGGTGGTGGTAGTGAGATAATGTGTGTGTTGCTGGTGGTGGTGGTGGTGGTGGTGGTGGTGGTCGTGTGGTGGTGGTGGTGTGATGTGTGTGGTGTTGCTGGTGGTGGTGTGCTGGTGGTGGTGGTTGTGGTGATGGTAATGGTGAACGTGGTGGTGGTGGTGAGATGTGTGGTGTTGGTTGTGGTGGTCGTTGTGGTTGTGATGGTGGTTGTGGTGGTGGTGATGGGTGGTGGTGGTGGTGGTAGTGGTGAGATGTGTGTGAGTGTTGCTGGTGGTGGTGGTGGTGGTGGTGGTAGTGGTGGGTGGTGGTGGTGGGTGGTGGTGTGTGGTGGTGATGGTGGTGGATGTGTGTGGTGGTTGGTGGTGGTGGGGTGGTGGTAGTGGTGGAGTGGTATTGGTGGGTGGTGGTAGTGGTGGTGGTGGTGGTGGTGGTGGTGGTAGTAGTGGGAAATGGTTGGTTGGTGGTGGTTGGTTGGTGGTGGTGGTTGGGTGGTTGGTGGTGGTGGTGGTTGGTTGAGGATGTGGTGTTGGTGGTTGGTTGGTGGTGTGGTTGGTGGTGGTGGTGGTGGTGGTGGTGGTGGTGGTGGTGGTGA